CGCGAGTCTCGTCGAGATCGGCCACGGATCACCGAGCCGGAGGACCGTAGGGAAGAAGCTCGGCTGAGCGATGTTTGCCTCGCTCAAATGTTGACCGAACCACCCTCGCCACTCCGGGATCATATCCTGCTTTCAGACGAACCTCTCAGGATATACGCGAACCTGGTCCCTCGTCCTAAGATGTCCATCACGATCTCGAGCCGATGCTCCGCGAGGAAACACACCCCCGGCGGACGCGCGAGATTCCTCCGGATCTCGCGGAGCTCCTTCGAAGCTGCCTTGCTCCGATCGCCATCCTCCGGAATGATTTCACCCGCGAAGAAAAAAGGATATTTTTTGGCGGATGCTTTCTATGCTCGCTGGCAGAAGGTTGATTAGCCGACACCTTCGCGCGACTACCGATCCCTGTGTGCGCAGTGGGGCCTTCGATTTCCTCTTTAACCCTTTATAGTGCCGAAAATATCGTTTTATGTTCTCTTTTTAACTTATTACTCATAACTCTAACATAACTCTATTAACTCATCGAGTTTGCAATATTTCAATGTAAAAACAATAACTGGCAGTAATCGGCAGTCGGATCGAGGCTTAATTTTCCGATAATCAGGTGTTGCAAAATTTGTATAATTCCCTGAATTTCTGAAACCTTGCGAAACTCGACCGAGCCTGGTATTTTTCACTCTGGTGCGCACAAGTTTTTCGATCGGCATTGAAACGGCGAAATCCATGTTTTGTCTGTGCACCGTGAAATCGAACGCTAATAATATTTGTGCAATACAACATCGTGCGCTAGCAAAGAATCGTGCTACTCGGTTTTTGTACACCTTTGTAGTAGAAGTGGTTCTTTGGAATTGCTGCTATTCAAGAGAACACATATTTGGAGATACAGAAATTGACAATTCGGGAAGAGTAGATACGATTGTTCGAGCCTTGCAGCTCGTTTTTATAATTGTTGAAAATCGGTAACTATAAAAACGAGTCGTAAGGTTCCTCTTTCCAAATTGTCCATTTTTGTCGACAATCTGAGCGTCAATTAGGGAGACATTACTGTACAGCAATTTTATTTCGACGATCGAGTGAAACAAGTTTAAAAATTGATATTTGTCTGAACTATTCTAATTCTTGGCTAGATAATTCTTATCTTTCCTGCAGCTATAATTTGATCGCGAATAATTTTAACCAGGACAATTACTATGCGAACCGCAAGTTATAGCAACAAAGGGGTTCGAAGATTCCAAGTGCAGTAAATTCTCTATAATTGACGCTCAGATTGTCCACAAAAATGGACTATTTTGGGGAGAAGAGAGACGATTATTCGATCCTTGCGGTTCATTTTTATAGTTACAAATTGTCCACAATTCCAAAAACGAGCCGCAAGGCTCGAACAATCGTACCTCCTCTTCTCAAATTATCCATTTTAGTGGACAATCCGAGCGTCAGTAAGGGAGACATTACTGTACGATACCAGACACGTGATGCTCGTGACATTAACGCTACGCTGGCCGGATATTGTAAATATCTCCACAATAGCTGCAAAACGGATATTTCTACAACCGAAGCGGCCGAATTTAGTCTTTCGGGAATCTAAATTTTTTCCACTTGCGAACTACACGCTTCGAGATTGAAGCGTCAGTTTTAGCGGATGCAAACCTCTGCAAGCTAATATACGTATATGATTTTACTTCCACGTGTGGGCCGTCACAGGGTTCGGCGACTCCGCAACCTTAAATGCGAATCGAAGAAGTCAGAGTCGAAAGTCCCGGTGTGTCGAGGCCACCCACGGCGAGCGAAGGTCGCGGGACCGGGGGTGTCGTGTTTAAAGTAGCGTCCCATCGGCGTCGCCGCGTACCGTTAATTCGTCGCGGTGATTATGGATCCATTAGTGTGGCAGCCGACAAATAGCACGGTACAATCCAATAACCGTCGCGGCCCGTAATAAAAGGGGAGGCAGTTTAAGCACCAGTCGGGGGTAGTTTAGGCGGCACGCACGCACGCACGCACGCACGCGGAGCTCCGCACGCTCGTGCGCACGGTCTCGTCGGCCGAGTGTTTACCAGTAGATACCCCGGCCTCCGTTCTTCCCAGTGTGTTTCGAGTAGTCTCTCCGCGGCTCTCCCGCTCTCTTCCTCTCTCACCCTCCGGCTCGCTCTCTCTCTCCGTCTCTCGTCCCCGTTCGCACCCTCTTCGGTTCTTTCCGTTTCATTCACTCCGTTCTTCACCCCTCTCCGCGCCGCCGTCGACTCCCCGATCGCTATCCGATTTTAGTTGCTCGCCGGCGCAACCACGCGTCGAGGGAAACCGAGAAAGAGTGAGAGGGGTGACGTCCCCAATACCGGCCAGATAGCGATCACCGCGTTCATTGTCGCATCACCGTAATATCCTGCCGTAGAGACCGAGATGGGGTGTGTAGCGGCAGCGAGGACTCTGACTCGAGAAGAACGGGGCTCTCGTTCACTAACACCGACGCTCTGCCACCAGCGAACGGGTGAACCAGGGAGGCGGGGGCAACTCGCCGAGGGGTGGACTAAAAGCCTCGAATCTGCGTTTCGGAACGGCTCACCACCGGCTGGGCGCCTAGCGACGTGTTAATTATCCCCGTGTTTCGCGAGCTGCAAAAATCCCGGGACCGCTGGGGGATTGTTCGACGGGAATCCATGGAGGACGGAGTTTTAGCGATTCGAACGACCCGCGGGTCGATCCGGGCCACTTTGGCGTTTTGGGATTCGATCGTAGACACCGAGGTTCGGGGGACGAATCGGGGACGAATCGGGGACGAATCGATCGGGAAAGTTGAGATCGAGCGAAGGATTCGATCCGGAACAATGTCCAAAATCGAGCGAAGGATTCGATCCGGAATAGTGTCCAAAATCGAGCGAAGGATTCGATCCGGAACAGTGTCCAAAATCGAGCGAAGGATTCGATCTGGAGCATCGATTAGAATCGAGTAAAGGATCGATCGAGAATGCTAAGATCGTGCGGAAGATTTTATCGGGAACGCTGACTAAAGTCGAGTGGAACATTCGATCAAGGAAAGTAACAAGATCTAAAGATCTAGCGAAGGATTCGAGTAGTCAGGGTTGCAATAGATATTTCTCTCTCTCTTTCTCTCTCTCTCTCTCGCTCGCATCGATTCAGCAATCAAGAGAAGGACAGAGTAGCAATCAACTGATAAATGCCCGTTTTTCAGACTCGAATTCGGTTATTCAACGTACCAAATTGTTTAATACTTTTCGCTGTTTAATCCGCGCACTCGCGCATGCCCTGGATTCAAAATTCCGATGGAACCGTTAAGCCGATTGGGCCAAATTTCGAAGAGAAATTCGCGTGAAATAGAAAAATTTATATTAGTAAACTAATATTATAATATATAATATATATTAATAATATATTAATAATATATAATAATAATATAATAATAATATATTACTAATAATATTAATATATTATTAAAATTAATAAAATTTATATATTTATTTATGTGTCGTCCTTCCGCTTGAAACCAGCGCGTTCCATTCGAAATCTCGGGGACCGCGGAGCGCGCAGAAGGGGTTTCGATTTTTCGCGGCCGCGGCCGCGGTTTTTCGAGTACACGAATCCCCCCGCAGAAACTGCTCCCTCTTTCTCCGTGGGTTTTCTTTGAACTGTAAAACGGGGCCGCTAATCTGAAAGCGTTTCAAGGCGATCGACGGCGCCGCGGTCGGATCCGAAACGTTCTCGCATAAACGTTCCACGATCTTTACTGCCGGTCTGGCCGGGGAGTTCTCTTCCGATCCGGCCGCTTTATGGGCCTGTCGAGCAAATGAAATGAAATTCATGCAAATCGCGGCACAGCCGACCAGTCGGTCCGCCACCGCTTTTGTATCGGGGCGGCGATGCGTCCAACCTATATCACGAGGGTGAAACCGTGCTTCCCCTGCGCCAGCCACGAACCCGAGCTCCAATCCGGTCCCGGCCATCGTCGGCTTTTCGTGGTCCCGAACGTTTAGGGTTGGTTTGCGCGCCGCGACCGATGCTCCATCGCGAAACCGTTCCAATAGAAGTTAGCTGCTGTGTCTATCTTCGGCTGGAAGCCGAGATGCGCGGAAGCGCCTTGTTGCAAAAAGTAGACCAAACAGATGGCACGGCAGAGTTCAACGCGAATTACGTGTAAAGCCACTATAGTGGCGCGTCGTACAGAAAGATGACATCCGCGAAAACCGCTATAGTGACGCATAGTGCCTAAGAGATTGAAGAAACTATTTGTAGAACATGAACATGTATGGTGCAAAGACGAATTTTGCACACAAGCGGCGCGACGTATATTTGAATCGAGTCTTGCGCTTCCCTCCTCGATATGTCCTAAAGCGTTGTTATAGCAGAACGTAAAGGTAGACAAAGATTCTGATAATCACCGAGATTCCTACTCTAACAAGATTCATTACTTGAAGCAAGACGTTGTTTTTCCCCCCATTTTTAAGATATACAAGATCGAAAATCAATGTTAAGAATGTAGAATTTTATTGATAGTCGCAACAAATACGTTGATAATAACAATCGCGTCCGTAGTGTATAATTTTCCATTTTGAATTCTGCAGTTTTACGAAAGTATAGTAAACTCTCCCTAATTGACGCTCGGCTTGTACACAGAAATGGACAATTTGGGAAGAGAAGATACGATTGTTCGAGCCTTGCAGCTCGTTTTTAAAGTTACTAATTGCCAATAAATATAAAAACGAGCCAAAATGCTCGAATAATCGTACCGCCTTTTCTAAGATTGTCCATTTTTGTGCGCAATCTGAGCGCGAATTAGAGAGAATTTTCCGCACAAGCTGAGCGCGAATTAGGGAGAATTTACTGTGCGAAATTATCGCTTGTGACGAACTTCTTAAAGAACGGTACCACTGTAAGATACCATTAGTATTCGAGGCTAGTACTTCGAACACACCTCGGTTCGAGCCGAGGACCGCGGCTCTACGATGTTATTCTCGAACTATTCGTTTAAATGTTTGGTTGTCCGATTGCAGGCGATGCGTCAAGAGGAAGCGACTACTACGGCGCGTACATCGGGCCCCTGAACTGCTCGTCCGATGGAAACCAGAACGTCTCGTGCAAGGGAATCAAGGGCGTTGTCTACGGCGTGGACGACTCGACGTTCTTCATAAAGGGCTTCACGTACGATGGGGCCGCGATAGACGTGTTCTTTTGGGCCAACAACGGAACTACTCCCGGCCCGAACGGTTACATAATCCCGTATCCGCCGGTGGAGTTGGGCAGGTAAGGCCCCGTTGTCCATTCCGAGCCGATACTTTCACCGTCGTCGACTTCCGTTCGATGCGTTTGTTATCGCGTAGTTTTCCCACGACTCGCGACTTTCGCTTGTCGAGAAGCGAGCTGGCGATCAGCTGGAAAATTCATGCAATTCGTAACAACATGCTCTCCCACGTACGGTCAGATAGAATCTGCTTCTCGGATAATTTTGTCTATCTTGTCCACTCGGAGAAACCGATTTCCATTGGGTCCAGCCGGATTCTTTGCGCTCGTTGCTGTCTTATCCGCGAAAAGTAGACATTTCTTTCGATCTAAAATTAATATAAAAAAGCTAAATACCAAATTTAATTTGGAAATTATTCATTGGTTCGAACAGCTTCTTCTAGAGTTAGCAACCGTTTACAAATTCGAGACGTGTTTTCACGGCATTTCTCATTACTGCGCGCAAAACTTCGGGCGATAACATGTTTATTTCTTCAGTGATTTTGCGTTTTGATTAGCTCGAAGTGTTGGGCGTCGTTACTTCGGCTGGATCGTGGTCTACCACCTCGCCTAGAATCGCTTAGTTGATCGTGTCCCTCTAAATCTAGTAATCAATTAAGTTAAAATCTCGACGAAATTTTCTCCGAGTAGAAATAATTGAACGATCCTTTTTGGAGTAAATGTCGTCGTCTCTGCGGGCAGCGTACAAGACCTTTCTCGCGTTTCAAAACGAAATGTAACCGTGGAAAGGGATAGGGCGGAGTGGATTTTTCAGGGGTGCGATTTTTTTGGCGGCTCGTAGGGCCACTTGAAAGGGAGCCGAGGAAGTCTTGTTCTCGCACGAGCGACCAGGAACGAAAAGGAGAAACGCGTTTGGAAGGTGGTTGGCGGCGCGTGCGGTCAGGGTTGACGCGCGCCACAAGAAAGGGAAAGAAAGGAGGAGAGAGAGAAAGAAAAGAAGAAAGAAAAAAAAGTAAGGGGCAGGGGGACTGGGGAGGCCGATAGGGGGCAGTCGGACGAAAGCGGCATACCGTAGCCAAGGGATGAAATGAAACTCAAAGAGCATGTTGTGCGGAAACCGGGGGGGATGAACGCGCGGGAATCGGGGATGGAAACAGGAGGAAGGCCGGACGAATAGATCGCGGGGGTGCAGTTAATAAAACGGGAATTATACGCCGATCTCGTTCGGATTTCATCCGCGCGAGCACTTTATTACGTTTCGTCTCGCAGCCGCGCCGCGCCGTTGCTGCTCGTCTCTGTCGAGCTCTTGGAATAAACAGCCACTTCGACCACCCCCGTTCGAAACTGTGTTTTTGTAAATTGACTACGCGGGGGTGGCAAAATTCGCGAGGTTAAATAACTGCGGACGATCGGTGTCGTTCGTTCCATCTTCGTTCGGATCCGGTACTGGTTTAAACTTTAATTGGACTATCGAGATCCTAGGAGTTGAATCTACTGCTCGAACCCCCCTTGATAATAGGAGTAGCCATGTTGTCTGCTGACAAAGTTTTCTTTTCCTCTTATTTGTTAGTAAAAATTATTTTCACAGTACGCGTATTAAATGTCAATTGTATTTGATCTGTGCACAGGTCATCTATTAACAAGGTGACAATGTTCGTTCAGTCCAAAAGAAGACGACATTATTTATGGATAGATAGTGAATTTTATGCATTTATGATAAAAATAATTAGACGAAACGGAATACATCTTTTTCACAATTGGAAGAATTTAACAATTTTAATATACAGGGTGACCCGAAAATGTCTCGCAATCCGAAAACGGGAGGTCAGAATTCCAAGCTCAGAATTCCAAGCTGAGGATTCCAAGCTCAGAATTCCAAGCTCAGGATTCCAAACAGAGGATTCCAAACAGAGGATTCCAAGCTCAGAATTCCAAGCTCAGGATTCCAAGCAGAGGATTCCAAGCCCAGAATTCCAAGCTCAGGATTCCAAGCAGAGGATTCCAAGCTCAAAATTCCAAGCTCAGAATTCCAAGCTGAGGATTCCAAGCTCAGAATTCCAAGCTCAGAATTCCAAGCTCAGGATTCCAAGCTTAGAATTCCAAGCTCAGGATTCCAAGCAGAGGATTCCAAGCTTAGAATTCCAAGCTCAGGATTCCAAGTTGAGAATTCCAATTATTCGAGTCTTGCGGCTCGTTTTCATAATTGTGGACAATTTATAACTATAAAAATAAACCGCAAGGCTCGAACAATCGTATCTCCTCTTCCCAAATTGTCCTTTTTTTGTGCGCAATCTGGGCGTCAATTAGAGAGACATTACTAGAGATTTCGATGGAAAGAGCCTGTTCCCGATAGCGCAACAAGCAAAAAGTCTTTCTCGAAAGCAGGTCGATGAAATGAAATCGAAAATGCAACAGGCGTTGTTAAGACAATTAGGAGCACAACGAACGACCACGAATATCCACTGTTTTTTTCCTCTGTCCAGGGAGCCGCAGGAGCTACAAGCGTACCACAATGCGGACATCATCCTGGAGTTGCCTGCCGGGAAGAAGATACGAAACGCGAACTGGCTGAGCCTTTGGTGCAGACGATTTGCCGTGAGTGAACCTCGATGTGCTCGATCGTTAGGCGTCGAAGCCGACGGAAAAGAATTGCCGCGCGACAATTATCTCCGTCTTTGACGAGACCGTGTCGAAGTTCCTCGATGTCGCGGGAGCTCTGCTCGCCGGAAAAGTTGATCGCAAATACGGCAGAAACGCGACAACAAAGCCCGGAAACAAAGTCAAACGTTGACTTCGTATTTGCGCGAACTTCCCTCGGGTTTCCGTGCTGGCCGCGGATTATGAAAAACAAGCCTGCAGGGAGGAGATAATAAAAATTAGCTCGACAGACGGTTTTAACTTTGAGGATGGATCCAAAGTACCGAAGTTCCGTGCGTGTACGTCCGACGAGAGAAATTATGGGATTAAACGGAATAAAATTTGCCGGGCCGGGGGCGCCGCACGGATTTGAAAACGCGGCGGAGGACACGCGGGGGGAGAAAGGGAGGAGGATGAGGAAAATACGGCGCACGAATTCCCGTCGCCCGAGGAATAAAACGACAATCCTCTCCGTAATCTCTCGCGCGGTATTTCCGATAAATTTGTGCGACATGCTCGGGCGTGTCTGGGCCGGGAAAGACGGCGCGCCGTTTCGTTCGAAGGGGCTACGATGCGCGGAGAATGGAGATAACTTGATTTTTGAGGAGATCCACGGGGCGCACCGTCGCCTATCGGACGCGCATTCGTGGTCAATGGCGCGTGTCGGATGGATACGGAAGCCGGGAGCATGGGGACTGCACGCGCCCCCGCACACGTGCAACCCTCCGCGCCGTTTGTGTGCACGCATCTAAGCATGCATTTAAGTCGTTTCTCTTCCCCGCGCCGCTCGCCTCTTCCGTCGCCGCGCTTTGCTTTTTCCGGTCGGTTTGGGACGGATGGCTCCTGGAAACAGGCGAATCCGGGTGTCTTTAATTGCTTGATTCAGGCGGCGCGGCGTCTCGTAAATGGCGCCGTAAATTAATCGTCGGAACTTCGGCGGTTCTCGCAATTTTACGGCGAGATCTCATCCGGTGGTTGGAGGAACTATTGTTTGGTAGTCGGAGAACGCGAATCTGCTTAACGCATAACGAACGCTTAACGAACATTTGCTTGTTCTCCAATTTTGTTCGCTTCTTGATACTTTTATTTTGTGACCTTTTAGTTTGTTCATTTTCTGTTAAAAAAAGGTTAACACGTCTCGTGCGATCAACGGGAAGGTAATTATGCCGGAAAACAAACGAAAGGCACGGCAATTAGTCGCTACAAGCTAACCGTCTTCACTACCCTACGTTTTCATTTACTTCAATTCTTAATTACAACAATGGAATAAAATTGTGTTTCTTTCTGGAAGAAATTAGTAACGTCCATGTTTATCAGATGATTTATGAACTCTTGATAACGAATCTGTCTCGTTATCGTAATGCAAGGGATTGAAGCGAGTAATATTAAAAGGGACACGAGTTTCCCGAAGACAGAGACGATGGTAAACCGGATAAGGACGCATTAGGCGCTCAAAGGGCCTGGGTGAAGGACCTACGGAATACGAGAGAACGAGTAGCAGCTCTCGAAGGGCCCGAGGGTTAATAAGAACAGAGATTCGTTTGTATCGAGCAAATTTGTGCCCGGTTTTACGCGCATTTTACGGTGCAATATCCTCGCACGCTCCGCGGAGGGAGTCGCGCGGAGCTTAATAAATCTGTCCATCCCTTTCGCGATCCACCCTCGCACGCCCACTCGCTTACCCGCAAATCCAGCCGGGTCGTTCGCTCGCGCACAAAAGTCAGTGTATCGCCAGCCAGAAGATTTCCGAGGGGAGAGAGCGAGTGCGAGAGCGAGAGAGGGAGAAAGAGAGAGAAAGAGAGAGGGAAAGGAGAAAAGGTTTGAAACGAGCATATCGACGGCGCGGAGAGAGAGCCGGAGCTTTTGCTCTTATATTAGGAGGGCTTTAATATCGAAGTCTGAGGGGTGCTCCCATACCGTGACAACCCTCCATCAGACACGCTCTGTCACCGCAAAACGCGCTGTCCGCCGCCCACGGTCCGTTCTACAGGGTGTCCCGTTACGAACCCGTCGCCTCACCCCACGTCGTAAGTGATCGTCGAACCTTTCGTTATAAATCGATCCATCCCGCTCTCTCTCTTTCTCTTTATCTTGCACTCCCTATCGCCGAGTGCACCGATCGGGGAACACGAGTGGAAGCCAGACGCGGCGACAACGAGGAGGTGGAGGGTTAGGGAGCGGAGGACCCGATGAATGTATGATCGCGATTTTACGATACGAAAAGGGCTTTCGCGTCGTTTCACCAAAGATTAAAGCCCGCGCCTCTGAAAGATACACCTCGGACGCTACGATCGGTCCCGAATATTCTGTTCCCACGAGATGCGGTAACGTCACCCTAATTGACGCTAAGATTGTGCAAAGAAAATGGTCAATTTGGGAAGAGGAGATACGATTATTCGAGTCTTGCAGCTCGTCCTTATAATTGTTGACAATGGGTAACTATAAAATCGAGTTGCAAGGCTCGAATAATAATATCTCCTGATCCCAAATTGTCCACTTTTGTTTCTAAACTGAGCGTCAATTAGGGAGACATTACTGTACGTCGCGCGCTATAATAACACGAATTCCTGCAACCTGTATCTCCTTAATTGACCCTCTCCTCAGACGAGGAGATATTATTATTCGAGCCTTGCAACTCGTTTTTTATAGTATTGTTGACAGTTCGTAACCATAAAAACGAATCGGAAGGCTCGAATAATCGTCCATTTTTCTGCGCGATCTGAGTGTCAGTTAGGGAGACATTACTGTACTGTCCCGCAGACTTTAGATTTTAGCAGTAATATGAATAAGGAGGAAATATGGAGGAAAGCGAAAGAAGGGGAGGATTTTGTACCGGAGTACCAGAGGACTCCTCGATAAGACTATGCATTTATTAGGCTGTCCCATAAGTTCGAGGCGTCCACAGTGAACATTTTCTTGAAATATCTGTGAGTTTTGGAGACTTCGAGGTATCGGACACCTCTTTGAACCGACAAATTCCAGGTCCGGAACGTAGTCGATTTCCGAGATCAAAATTTCCTTTCCGAAATCGATCGAAGCATTTTCCTTCTTCGCAAACGGCTCTGTGTTTCCTTCGCGATACTCGTACAGCCGAATATGCTCGATGCCTTCTCTAGACCGAACTCGATCGTCCAAACTCTTTTCCCTCGCTCGCTTGTCGCTCCGCGACCACACTTCGCGAAGTATAAACGCATTCGCGGCACGAACTTATGGGACGATATAATAAAAACCCTTGTACAATCGTACGCAATGAAATCGCAAGAACGGTCCAGGAATACCGATTCAAAACCAGTTGCGGAAACGCGTCGACCGCGTCTTCGTCTGCTGGAAAGCGTAGGACGCAACCGCTACAAGATGACGCACCCCAAGATTTCGGTTTAAAAAAAAAGAAAAGGGAGAAGATCTCCGAAATCGGTGCGTATCGAAGGAGAAAACTTCCAAGAGGAGAGATCCGTTCCATCCGTGATTCACAGAAGCCCGAGCCGACTCGATGTACCCCGGTTGCTCGAGAGTCGGGGGGTGAGCGAAGGTGGCTGATACACAGAGGGGTAGACGCGGGTTTTGCTTGGGTATCCGGTAGACAGGAACTGTCTGTCTATCTGTCTGTCAGCCGACACACCCTCGCGCACCGTCGAAGGATGTATTGTCAGGAATAAGCCTTCTTCTTGTTCGGTTTTCCTTTTCCCACCCCCGGCCGGAACGCGCGAGAGGCGGGGAGAAAGAGAGCCCGGGCTTTCTTTGAAAGGAACCGCCGCGGAGATATCCATGGTCGATATCAAGCCGACGTCTCAATGGGCCACTGATTCGGATAGGATTTAGTAATTTTTCCCCGCGCCACCCCCTCGGCTCCTGTTCCACCCCCTTCGGGCTCGGCCAACGTCCAAAACGGCGCTTTCGCCCGCGACGATGGAAGCCCGCGATGCGGTCTCTGCCTCCGGATCTTGTCCGCGGGGCTTCCTCGGGGAATCCGAAACGTTAAAGCCGTTGATCGGTCTTTCATCTCTCGTCCCCCCTTCCTCTCCTCGTACCCGACACGCTGTCCCCTCGGCGAATCTATCGGAACCCATGGGAATCGCCGTTTGACCGCTATCGAGGAAAGCGCCGGCGACGAAAGAACGCGCGAGAATTCCGCGGCTACTCTTCTTCCCTTGTTCCGTGAGAATCGACCATGGTCGCGCGACGCGAACTATTACGGAAATGAAAAAAAACCGAATCGCGTTATCCCTCGATCTCGTTCGTGTCTCGCGCATTTACGAATGCGGTTCGTGCCGCGCAAATTTAATCTTCCCCCGGTATCTTTCACGCGATTCCTGCGCGCGCGCGCGCGCGCCATTGCTCCTCCGCCCCACGGTGGGGTGCAACGACGAGGTTGTGTCAAAATCAAAGAGCTTCTCATATAAATGAGACAAAGTTATGCTAGTTTTTCTTTACACGAAAGTTAGAGTGTACGAGAAACCAAAAAGTAGGGGGAACTTGGTTCGAACGTTTTCTTAGCTTTGTAAATTAACGTTAAGCTTGGGGTATTCCAACGAAATTGCGATGTATCCGATAACCGTGTACATTGGAATCTTCTCGTGACATAGATTTCGACACGCTGATTTCAAATCCGGTCGCAAAATTTATCCATCGCATTAGCGTTCTGCAAACAAAAATCGATCGTACAGCAATCGCGACAAAATAACCCGAAAGAATAGAATGCTAGATATAATAATATACAATATAATCGAGCGGTATATTTGTCCGAACCAACATTTTTCTCTCCACATTTCTCTATTTTTCTCCTCTTCCACAACATTTCGGTTTCGACGTGAAAAAATAGCTTTGTCTCTTTTCTGCCCAAAACTCCTCGATTTCGACCCAGTTGAGCCGACGAGACCAGTTTGCATTTATCAAGCCACTTTGTATTATCATTACGAGTCGAACGAACAGATTTATATAGGTAATTTAATAAATAATTT